CTGTTCTTCCGCAGTTCCCTGAGATGAATGAGGTGAGCCAAGAGGACGAGAGGAAGGGCAGTATGCTGGTCTCCTTTGTCATCCAGAACCTGGGCCTCTTGACCGGATTCACCATCATGCTGCTGCTCACAATGTATTCAGGGCAGATCCAGATTGGGTAGAGCCCTGCCATGTGCCAGTGGACTCCGAAGTGGGGCCCTTCGCTGCCCGATCCCTGGCCCGAGGACTCAGCATCTGCAATATACCACCGGAGAGGCATCAGTTTCTTTTGAAAACTGGGCCACAGACTATATGCCCGCATCCAGGTGCTGGCCGTTGTCGCCCTGCTCAGTCCTAGGCATACACTGCCCGGACAACTGGTCCCTGGGCAGTGCCTCTCCCCCGGCCCCTCCCTCTCTGCCCCAGCAGCTCTGGAACCCAAATCCCACTTAGAAGATAAGCCTCACTTTTTGCCTCTGACGACCCGGCCTTCTTTCTCTTTGAACCAGCACTGAGAGATTTTGAATTCTGATTTACCACACATGCACAAATCTAGCCATGGGGCCCAGCTCGGCTAGAGATACCAGGAGCTGAATCTGTAATTTGGGGCCGACAAATCTAAATCTCCCATGCCAGACGCCTTCAGGCGGCCCATTTTGAGATTGGAGCTGACCTGTTTTTACAGAGAAGGGGCAGAAGATGGGGGTCCCTCCTGTGTCCTCCAAGTCAGTTCAGTTGGCTGTCCCTTCTCAGAGAGAAGTGCCGCAGAACACAGGCGGGGTGAGCGAGGAGGGGGCAAAGCAGGATGGCCACTTAGCCCCTTGGGGATGCTGGCTGTGGATGCGTGCTGCTGTCCCCACGTGTCGACTCCGTGGCCCACATGTCCTCTTCGCAGAATAACATGGGAAGAAGGGGGGGGCAGGGGGCCTGCCCGAAATCCATTGCTTTGGCGCTGGTCGCTCGGGGCAGTTGGCTGCCCATCTGGAAGCACACTTCGTGCACAGAAGAGGCTGGTGTTGCAGAGAGACTGCACAAACTGCGCCCCCGTCAAGACCGCTGCAAGCGGGCACGTTGCCTTCGAGGACTGGTGTGCAGTTTATGCCCTGCCACCTCCTGCCAGGGTCTCCAGGACCGGAATCCACGCAGGCACGAGTTCGCTCCTGCTCATGCCACACGTACGTTGGGCCAAGTAGCACGGCACTTTGAGCTACAAGGGCAGACCCCCGGACTGGCACGCAGATGCTTGTAGAGCAGAGACCCCCGACTCACAGCAGATGGGGTTCCCACGGCACTCTCTGGGTTACCGCTTCTTCCCTCACTCCCACACCACAAAACAGCCGAGTCTGGTTTTAAATCGACGATTAATCGCCCTCATCCTCTTCAGAAAGTGGATGGAGACACGTGTCTGTGAAACCGCGGGTCCGCCTCGGGCACTGGGGAGCTTTCTCCTCAAAACTGGCTTCAGGGGGAGCTCTTCTCCGGGTTCACCAGGTGAACTGATTTATTATTATCATATTGATAATGCAAGAGTCTTGGGCCACTTTGGGGGAAGCCGTCTCTCCTGAAGTCTAACTTAGTGGCACCCACACACAGTTGCAGCCCTGGCTGGGGGAGCAGAGGCAGCGTGTGCGGCTGACGGGGGTCTGGCTCTACGCACGTGCTTCCAGGTTTCTGCTTGCTCACACACAGCAGCTTTTCACTAGACTATGAATTAAAAGCATCTGTTTCATTTTTTCCTTCTTGGGAAACTTCCCTCCAACCAGGAATAGTCTTGAAAAGAACATGGGGGGAACTGCTGGTCACCTTTTATCAGTCTCACGCCCTGTCTCCTGCTCTTGCTGTTGACTGAGGGGTCTGCAGACGGAGAGGAAAGTGGAGCTCTTAAGAGTCTAGATTAAATGTCAGGCTCGACCCCTGATGGGATTCTGATCCACGTTTACCAAAGAACCAATTCCTTAAAGGATGGAATCGAATTTTGTGTTTATATTCTCTTCATTGTTACTGTTTGAAAACAATCCTTTGTCTCTTGTGTTTTTTTTTTCCTCAACAACAAAAAATGCTTCTAGGAGCCAGCAGAAAGTAACACTAAAAACTAAGACTTTAGGAAAGTCTTGCTTGACTTAACTCACCTGGATATATTCCCTTGATAATTTTAGCATTCCCTGTCCACCCTGTCATTGCTTAAACATAATGTTTGCCTGGGGTAGAGCACTGAGGGTTTGTGGCTTTCTAGTGTAGGAGCACTAAATAAAAACCTAGACTATGAAATAGGATGGTGCTTTCCTTTCCTCCATACCTGTCTCCTAAGAGCTCCTCATGGACAGTGGCCTCCCAGGGACATGGTCTAAACTGTGATTGGTGCCAGCATCTTGGGACTCTTGGGGACTGGAGACACTGAGATGGCCCAACTGATTGGATGTTGCCTTCGGGAAGAGATTTGCCTCCTGACTTGAGTGGTTGGCCATTTCTTTTTGTCTTTTTAAGTGTAGAACTTGCTGTTTTAAGCATTTGTACATATTAGAAGTCTAAGAAGCAGCAAATGATCTGGAGGAATTTTTCACCCGTGACATTAGCATCGTGAAACTCTTTCTTCTCAGGCCGGACCAGGTCCTGTTAGCTTCAGAAGGAAGGTATGTGGAGGAGGGCTCACTGGAGAGAGGGGCTCTGCTCCTGATCGCCCTCGCCCCAGGATGCAGGTTGCCTTCTGTCCTTACTCCCCAAAGGTAGTTTGGGTTTAGTGTCGATTTGGGATTACCCCTTATTGGTCCTTCCCCCTCTGGTTCAAAAAAAGAAAGTCTCTCGGTTGGATATCTTGAAGTCTATTTTTCAGTGAGTCCCCAAGTCCCCTTTCAAATATATGCTGGAAATCTGCTTTGTAAAAAAAAAGTCTTTGATCTTTGCAAAAGCTAGAGGTTGGGTCTTTATTGTCCATATTTCCCTTTACAGTTCTGCAATTCCATCACAGTATTTTTTTTTTTTAATAACTCAGGTGTTTAAGAGAAGAAATTAGAAAAGAAAATAACTTATGTGGACTGTAAATGTTTTATTTGTAAAATTCTATAAATAAAGCTATATTCTGTAATTGTTGAGAATCCTGAGCGTCATCTTTTAACGTGGTCATTCAGCCCTGGTTGTCATGTGCCCTGGTAGCACACTGGTGGTGCATTGGAAACCCTAGCCGCCCCTTCTGCCCTGTCGGCCTCTAGGTGCAGTGGAGACCGTTAAACACAAGATGGCGATGGTGTCTTGTTGGCGGACAAAGCCAACCTATGTTCTGAATATAGACTTTGAGGAGGACCTTTCCATATCATAAGGAGCCCTGGTGGCGTAGTGGTTACATGTTGGGCTGCAGTCCAAAAGAGCAGCAGTTTGAAGCCACCAGCAGCTCTTTGGGAGAAAGACTGGGCTTTCTACGCTCATAAACAGTTATAGTCTCAGCATCTTACAGGGACAGCTCTAACCTGTCCTGCAGGGTTACTATGAGTCAATCTTGACTCAATGGTAGTGAATTTGAGTTTGTCTTTTTCCCCTACAACATACCACACTGACTTCAAAAATAATTATCTTTTACAGAGTATATGGCTTCACTGGTGTTACATGACAAAAGTATGTTTTGTTTCCTAAGAAGAGCTTTTTATCACCCTGCTCCGTGTATAAACCCATAAATTCAGACCTAACGTTTTATTTACGCTACATTTCCTATTATGTCTGATGGGGGAAACGTCTCAGACTATTTTCTTTAAATAGTTTTATTGACATCTCGTTAAGTAAACACTTCCATAGTTCAGTCATATTAAAAAGAACTTTATAATCATCACTACAGTCAGGCCTAGGACATTTTTTCCTTCTTGTACTCATGATTAGCAACCAGTTTCCCTGACTTCCCTTCCCATGCCCCCTGTAAGCCATTAATTCAGTTACTGTCTCTCTATACTGGAAAACATGGAAAGAAAGAAAAAAACCCAGAGGAAAAAAAAGATCAAGAACAATAACCAAATGAACCAGAAGAAAAGACCTCAATCGAGGGGGTGGGGGGAAATCAGGAAATATTAAAAACTAGAACAAATTTAAACTGGGTCAACAGGGTGATCAAATGACCAGGTATCACATTTTAACCTGACTACATCTGCCGTGAACCGAGTTTCTAATACTTTGATAGCAAGTCTATTCACACCTCTCAACTGTGGTCAGGGGGATTCCCCATTCAACCTACTCTTAATCCAATTTAGTCATCATGCAAGTTCATGCATGACAATAGGGATGAACAATTAAGTCAGAGAAAGTATATGCTCTTGTTGCTCCATACACTAACAGTTCCTGAATGCTCATTGCTTTGCCCTCAGTTTCCGTCACTCAATCATAACATACGATTATTTGCATTGGCCCTTTAATTCACAGTGCATGCCACATGGCAGGAACCATTTAGAAATGACATTCCTTCTATCCTTCAGCTTGGCCATCTTTTCTGCAAATCCTGCCTTGTCTGCTTTCCCTGCTGCCTTCCCAAGCTGCTCTCGGCGCCACTCTGTGCTTACCTGAGTTAGAAAGCTCTCCTTCTATTTACTGGTGTGCTTTCTACATGAGAAATACTTTGAGCTCTGGAATAGAAATAAGCAAAGAGAAGGGGTTGTGAGGAGGATTGGAACTGATGGTAGTCATCTTAAGCAAATGGATGGTTGATACGCTTAACCAACTGAAATAATGTAGCCATGTTGGGTGAAAGGTGAAACATGCCATGCAATGCAGAAGATTCTTTCAATGGGCGTCTCTCACCAGCCTTGTTGCTGGCACACACTCAGAAAATGTGTGTTTTGAACCCACCATTGATACTGAGATCTGATTTGAGCAAAATAAAACTCTTTTGAAATAAAAGATACCGAATGCAGACACAGGGTGTTTTACTTGTAGGAAGATGTCAGTCTATTTTAAAGAGCTTAGACTCTTAATCTAGAAGGAACTAGCTAGACTTCTGAGAAGGGTAGTTTCAGACCCAGCAGAAGTGAATCGCCTTTCACCTCTGGGATAAGGTGAATTACATTCCACTCGTGATAGATAGCTCTCAGATGACTCCTTTTATTTTTATTAAAGTGGAAAAATCGGTGGTTGGAAAAGCTCCTGACATCTTTTATCAACCCTCAAGCTAAGTATGTTAAAAGTAGCCAGTCAGAAATCACTTTTCTTTTCAGCAACATAACTCCTTTTTGCCAGATGCCTACTCAGGGCTTCCACTCAACAAAAGAAAGGAGTTAACAGAGACTGCTTCCTGTATCACAACTATCTCTGACCCTGGGGGTGGGTAGCATCAATTGTAGCTAAGAACTCACCCCCAAAGTGTTCTGACCTTGGCAATCATAAGCCACGTAGTTCTTTTTCCTTCGAGGTTCTGGGTTTCTCTCATGCTTTGCTGATACAGCTTTGGAACACTCAGATTGCCTACGAATAAACTAAAATGTCACTGGCTAGTGCCGTTCGCTCCCGACTACCAACCAAAAGGTTGGTGGTTCTAACCCAGCCAGCTGTGCTGCAGAAGAAAGGCCTGGTGACCTCCGATAATTAAAGGTAAGTAAGCCCTAGCGATCCTGAGACTTCATTGCTCCTACTTTGGACACGTTTTCCGGAGAGACCAGTCCCTGGGAAAAGTCACCTTGCTTGTTAAAAGTGGAGGGTCAGCAGAAAAAGAAGGCCCCCAAGGAGACAGACTGGCACCGTGGCCGTGCAATGGACTCCAGTGAGAGTTGTGCGGATGGGGCGGGACAGGCGGAGTTTTGTGTTTACATGGGTCACTATGGGTCAGAACCAACTAGACGGTACCCAGCAACAGCAGCAAAGCCTCGAGACCACGTCGACGCTGCAACACCTGGAACTGCAGTGATGGGACTTGACGGCAGCGGGTTGGGTTTGGGTGAGAATACGCTGTACAGCTGAAGGGGCGGGCCAAGGCGTGTTGGACTCTACCCGTGAATGGACATGGGGGTGACAGGATGCTTCTGCATCGTCCTTTGCCTATGCTGCGAATATTGGGGACAGGGAGGAGGGCTTAAAAAGTGGGGGTGGCCAGCCTATGCACCCACGAGGTGTCGAAGGGATCAGGTGTAAGGCATCATCAGAACAAAAAATCTTACCATAGTGAATGATGGGGGGAGTGCGGAGTGGAGATCCAAAGCCCATCAGTAGGCCACTGGAGATCCCCTTGCAGAGGGGTCTCGGGGAGGAGATGAGCCAGTCAGGGTGCGATGTAACAATGATGAGAAATACAACTTTCCTCTAGTTCCTAAATGTTTCCTCCCCGCTCCCACTACCATGACTCGAATTCTATCTTGCAAGACTGGCTAGACCAGAGGAGGTACACTGGTACAGATAGGAACTGAAAATACAGGGAATCCAGGACGGATGAGCCCTATAGGACCAGTAGTGTGAGTGGCAAAACAGGGAGGGTAAAGGGAGAATGGGTAGGAAAGAGGGAACCGATTACATGGAACTGTGTGTGACCTCCTCCCTGGGGGACAGACAACCGAAAAGTGGATGAAGGGAGACGTCGGACAGGGCAAGATATGACAAAATACCCATTTATAAACTATCAGGGGCTCATGCGGGAGGGGGGAGCGGGGAGGGAGGGGAAAAATGAGGACCTAATGTCGGGGGTTTAAGTGGAGAGAAAATGTTTTGAGAAACGATGTACAAATGCGCTTTGCACAATTGATGTGTGTATGGATTGGGATAACAGTTGTATGAGCCCCTAATAAAATGTTAAAAAAAACCAAACATTTAAAAGTATGTAAACCTACTGGGTTGCTATGGGTCAGAATTCACTCAATAGCGGTAAGGTTTTAATTTTATTTCTATGTGTGGGGGGATGTACAACATGATCTACTTTCAGCTCTGGTTTAAAAAAAAGTGTGTGTGTGGGGGGGTGCCATTATCTTTTCATTTATTTATGTCTTTATTAAAAGATTTTTATCGGGGGCTCTTACAACTCTTATTACAATCCATACATCGATTGCATCAGGGATATTTGTACATATGCTGCCATCATTCTTTTCTAGACCTTTGCTTTCTATTGAGCCCTTGGTACCAGCTTCTCTTTTTTCCCTGCCCTCCACCACCCTTAGGACCCCTTGATAGATTCTAAATTATCTTTATTTTCATATCCCACACCGACTGCTCTTCCTCTATTCCTTCCCCCGTGGTTCCTGCTGTGCTTCCCCCTGGAGGAGGATTTGTGTGGTAATGTGTCCATCATTGCAATCGGTTCCGTTATCATTTCATTCAAAATTCCTGCACACTTGCTGAGGACCCCCTTGTGTATCTGTGAATGTGATGGAGCACACAGGGAGCATCGTTATGAAAACATCCTTCCGAGAACCCTATACTGTGATGGAAGGAGGCATGGGGCCTGGTAGCTCAGGACCATGGTCTTGGTGAGCACTGAGGTCACCTGGTGTAACATACTCCTCAGACACAAAGGTCTGCATCCGGCTGGGTCTTCAAAGCTCCTGAGTGGCCACCTGAAGTGCAACTCTTGGTCCCCCGGCCCCACTCGGAGGAAAGAAGGGCGCAGAAAGTCAAAGGCATGGGAGCAGTCAAGCACACATATCAGCACCCATGACTGAGGGACTCGAGGGTGTCTAGCTACCATCGATCGCTCTGAAAGGGCCCACCTTCAAAGGTCCTGGTCTGGAATGAAACCCGCTCCCGTGAAGGAGAGCAGGATCAGTGACGGGTGTGCGTGAGTGGTTCAGTTCACACTCCGCTCAGCTGTAAACCTTCACCATGAAAAGTTGAAAGACACCACAACTTGTATCATTCACAAACACGTAACATAAAGCCACCAGGACATCCCGGGTAGACGCCGCTGATCGATTAATTCTGACAACTTAATTCTAAGTGGGAAATGTTCTCTTGCTCAAATGTATATCCTTCTGTGTGCGACTAACATGTTAAATCCATTCAAATCTGAAGGATGACATCCGAGTCAACGACGGGAAAATCCTCCCTAGAACACGGGTTTGAAGAAGGAAAACAAGCAATTCCATGGAAGAGACAGGTTTTAAAACTTCAAGTACAGGCTTCGGTCTTTAATTA